TGAGAGATAAAGATCCCCTGTTTAGATCTAGCAACCTCAATACCCAAAAAATATCGCAGTGCACCAAGATCTTTCACCTCAAACTCTTGATGAAGTAGCTGTTTGAGAGACTCAATCTCACTATTATTATTCCCTGTCACTACAATATCATCCACATATACAATAAGCAAGGTCAAAGAAGAGTCCACTCTTTTAACAAACAGTGTATAATCTGACTGGGCCTGTACATAGCCAAATTTTCCAAGGGCTAGTCTGAATCTATCAAACCAAGCTCTAAGGGACTGTTTTAATCCATACAATGCCTTATTCAGTCGGCAAACCTTCTTACCTGTCTCTGTATCATAGAATCTAGGGGGCAACTGCATATAGACCTCTTCTTGTAAGTCTCCATTCAGAAAAGCATTTTTAACGTCCATCTGGAACAAGGGCCAAGAGTAACTTGCTGCAAGGGCTAATAGAACTCGAATAGTGGTCATCTTKGCTAMTGGRGCAAARGTCTCCAAGTAGTCTATACCATAAGTCTGAGTGAACCCTTTTGCAACCAACCGGACTTTGTACCTTTCAATGGAGCCATCAACATTATGTTTCACAGTAAATACCCATCTACATCCAACTGGTTTCTTTCCTTTGGGTAGGTCAACTAGCTCCCAAGTATTATTTTTCAAAAGGGCATCCATTTCAACTTTCGTTGCATCTGTCCACTCTGGAACTGATAAGGCTTCTTGCACTGTTCTAGGGATAGGAATATTAGCAATGGAAGTGAGAAAGGACCTGTAAGAGGGAGATAGGCGATCATAGAATAGAAACTGGGAAACACAGTGAGTTGTGGATGTGGTGCAACGCCGTTTCCCTTTACAGACCGCAATAGGGAGGTCAAGGTCATCAGAAGAAGGGGAAGTAGCAACAGTGGAAGGTATCTCAGTGGGCCTTGGGACTGTAGTACCTAGATCTGGATCCCTAGAAGGAACTGGGCCTGGCCGGGACTGCTAATGATCGGGATCAACCTGCTTGCATCGCCTATGATAGATTTTCAACTCCTGGTCCCTCTGACAACCCTCACCATTACAACCCTCATCACCCAATGGAATGGGTAAAGGAACAACCTCAGATGAGTTAACCCCACTCTCACTGCGCTCCCCTGAGGAAAAAGACCCAACTTCTCACTACTCTCCCCCTAAGGAGAAACCCTAGGATAATAGGGTGCCTCCTCAAAGAAGGTGACATCCATCGAGACAAATCTCCTCCCTGAAACAGGTCATAGCAGCAGTAGCCCTTTTGAGTTTGTGCATAACCGAGAAAAATGCATTTGGAGGCCTTGGGGTCAAATTTGGAATGATGACGTCCAAGGAGCTGAACAAAACAGGTACAACCAAAGGTTTTAAGAGGAACAATAAACAACTCGTCTGGGTATAGAAGGGTAAACAGAGGCTTC